ATATACCGATATTTTGAATTACACACATTCACTTTGTCGTTGTTAATTCAGCATTGTTATTTTACATTTTTTAGGAAAAGCACTCATGTTTATCACATTAAGGGATGGAACAGGATTTTTGCAGTGTGTACTTGGTGACATTTTATGCCAAACGTACGATGCGCTGACCTTGTCTACAGAAGCTTCTATCGAAGTATTTGGAACTCTCAAGATTGTACCGGAAGGAAAAAATGTATATATATCGTACGTAATTTCAAGAGCTTTTCAAATAACTAAATATTTTATCCCTTTTTAGGCTCCAAATGGACACGAATTACACGTTGATTACTGGAGATTAATAGGAGCATCTCCTCCCGGTGGTGCAGATTCCATTTTGAACGAAGAAGCTCTTCCCGATGTGCAGTTAGACAACAGACATATTATGATTCGCGGTGAAAATGTAAGATAATTCGTCTAACAAGTTATTCGTTACAAATACGAAAAAATTGATAAATATTAATTTCCATTTGACCAACAACTTGACTCAATTCAATGGATTAATTTATTTTAGACATCTAGCGTTTTACTCGTGAGATCTGTGTTAATGAAAGCATTTAGAGATCATTTCAATGAGAGAGGTTACATCGAAGTAACACCACCAACATTGGTGCAAACGCAGGTAGAAGGTGGTTCAACATTATTTAAACTAGATTACTTTGGGTAAGCATATTATTATTTATTTGAATAATCTACTGTCGATCAAGTCGAATAATCTACTTTCAATATTCGATTATGATTTACAAATCTGATCTTTCGTTTTAGAGAGGAAGCATTTTTGACTCAAAGTTCGCAGCTTTATTTAGAAACGTGCCTTCCAGCAATGGGTGATGTATACTGCATTGCACAGTCTTATAGAGCAGAACAATCTCGGACTCGGAGACATCTCGCAGAGTAAATATATGACATTAACAAGGCTCGAATAAATAATTATTGTGTAAGTCAAACTCGTACAAAACATTGAATTTTTAGATATTCACACGTGGAGGCAGAATATGCATTTATTACATTCGAAGAATTATTAGATCGATTGGAAGATATGATATGCGATGTTACCGATCGTGTTCTTAAATCAAAGCTTGGCTATTTAATCAAAGAATTAAATCCCGATTTCAAAATGCCAAAAAAACCGTTTAAAAGAATGGATTACAAAGATGCGATCGAATATCTTCGAATTAACAATATAACCAAAGACGATGGGACATTTTACGAATTTGGCGAAGTATGCGCTCGATGAAGTGATTATTTGATTATTACTTTGCTGCAACATTTTTAT